TCCCCCCCCCCCCCCCGAATTAGCCATGTCTCAGGAGGTCTGCTGCTAAATTCACGTGGCTCCATCTGTTGTGATTCTTACAGAGACGCAGACCCTAGGTTTTGGAGGCAAGAGACTAGACAACAAGATGCTGTGAATTTCTGAGCGTTTCTCGCTGGTATGCTGTGCTTGCTCCCATTGCTTAGACGAGCATACGAGGTTCGCCCACACTGCAACGAAGCCAGCATGGAGTGTTCGACTTTACAAGCTGGCGAACAGCTGGCGAACCGCTGTGCTTTGGTAAGGAAGATTGAACAATGCTTCTCGGCTTTAACTCAACTTGTCTTGGCGTCCGAAACGTAGATGTTTCCAAGGCCGTTCCCGTGGTTCACGTGCAGCACGACCATCCCTTCGGTGGCAAGGCATGCGGCAAGGGTACTGACCGGGTACTGACAAAACATGTGGCAGCAAGAGCCCTTCTGACTATGCAGGGACCCTCGGATGCATCGAGCACCGTGTAGGACTTCTCCTCCAACTCTGTAGGCAACGCGGCCTTACGCCGAAAGGCAGCTTGTTTACCCCTCATCGAAAACAGAGCAACAATGGCCTGCTGGAAGGTCGAGCCATCGGTGCTAACCTTGAGGTTCACGGTCTGCGCAGTTACATCCTTCACCTGCGCTACTAAGATGTACTGCTCAGAGATCACGAACTTGTTCCCACCCTGGACCAGCGTAGTTTTGCCTCAAACCGAGGGCTGCTGTGTTCGAGTGTCGAACTTCTTAGGCGGGACCAAGGCTAGGATTTACTTGCAAGTTCACGGAGCCCAGAACCGAAGCGCGTCAAGGCATCCAGGCTCATCAACAGCTTCCTGCTGGGTTTGGGAAGACAGTAACGAATAGGATGCCATTCATGTCGGAGTTACTATGACCAAGATCGTCGCTGGAGACGAAGTCCACCCCCTGCATCCACTTGCCTCGGACGTTGGGGCTTTTGCTCCTGGCTTTTCCAGAAGCGGAAAGACGTGAAACCCTTAAGAACTTACCGGTCAGGGAATGATGTAAATAATTAAGGAGGGGTCACAGGGCCACTGGACACAACACAACATTGTGAAGGCCTACGTTTATACAGCGACTCCCACAAATCGAGACACAGAAAATCGCGACATGCACACGTAGAAGCACCAAGGCCTCTGGTCAAAAACGTGTGTACAGTCAGGTCACTCAAGACGTTCTGTCTCTTGCTCTTGTCCCTGATGTGGGTGTAAAAGATGCGGTCCGCGTGCCCTTTTCTGCCCCAGCTGAACTGCACCACGTGTTCGGAGACCGGTTTCAGCGTGCCCTTGCCAAGGTCCTGACAGCGCGAAGCAAGAGGCCTCCCCGTCTACCAATCTCAGCACATGGCCCTGGAAGGAATAGAAGCGACGACTCGCCTCGGTGACCAGCAGCTTGTGGGTGCAAGGAGTTCCGGGGTTTTTCAGCTTGCAGTCTTCCGTCCAGACTGACAGCAGAGCCCAGGAGGCTCGCGTCGGGTGGAACATGAAGGACAGTCCTTAATGAGTGCTCGGCACCCCTCTTGCTAAAAGGCACGAGTGCTTTGGGATGCGCTTTGAGACGGTGTATGATGGTCTAACTTGAACAAGCGCTCAGAAGCTCATATGGGGCGGGGAGGCTTTTTGAAAAACATCATAACGAGCCCTACTCCGTCACGAGCTTCCGCTACCAGGCAGTTTCATTCGGAGCAAAGGTTCGGATTCCTTGGGGATGTACGACCTCCTGCCAGCTTCCTCCAGCATCCACGCTGGCAAAAACCTCGAGTCGGAATCCCACGGCCACAACCTCGGCGCATGTGAGCACAGCGATCACGAAGCAGTAATGGCAATGGTTCGAGCATGTCCCGCAGTTTAAACTGATCAAGTAGCTGATATGCTGCTCCTAGGTTTAGCCATCCCTTCATGGCTGCTGTTCGTGCGCGCGGGCGGGGGTGTGCGCGTGTGTGTGTGTGTGTGTGTGTGTGTGTGTGTGTGTGTGTGTGTGTGTGTGTGTGGGTGGGTGGGTGGGGGGGGGGGTGGG